GTGCTAGCTCAGCTTTTTCAATTTTGTCTCAACTTTTCACTGTAATTGTAATTTGTCTCCTTCTTTATAGCTTTACATTTATTACATCACTTTACATTAAGCTCTCTTTGAATTTTCATAAAATTTTAGTCCCAGTATAGTTCCTCTTTCACCGATCATTTCCCTGAACAAATACATATGCATTACAAAAAAAGTAGTGATCACCCAGTACTGATACAAAACTAAAATAAGGATAGTTAGAACAAATTGATTAAAAAAGATGAAGATACATCTTAAGTTCTAAAAAATGTTCTAAAATTCTGTCGCATAATCCTTTGCTACAAAAATATATCCAATTAAACCAATTATTAGAGAAATTATGATTTGCTCAGGATGCAATTTTTGCAGTCATCTGATAATTTAATTAGGCCAGATCTTGTTTTCAGATTAGTTTCCTAAAAACATCTAAAGTTTGTTGTTCTCTCTCTTTTGCACTTAACTTGAATCTACATAGTGGTCAGATATCTTACTAAGGGCTTCCCAAAACACATAGTGTTTTACTCTTGGGTTTTTTCATTGTTTATTGAATACATTTAGATTTTTTTCTGCAGTGAATTAATTCTCTGTTAAATTATTTTCTACAGGTACGAGTCAAAGCAGGATGATTCATCCTTGTCATGGGAGAGTAAGAACCACTTGACATTGCTTAAGAGGATGATTAACGACAAGATTGCTATGATGGAGGAGGCTATTGTCAGAAAAGATGATGACGATGAAGTTGATGGAAGTGGCAGTGGCAGTGGGAGTGGTGAAACAAATGGTAATCAGCTTATATTTTAACTTGGTTTTAGGGTTGAAAGGGCAAAAAAGGGCCAAAGAAGACAATTTGTGTAATATTACATCATGTAATGAAGTGCAAGGCACATTGCTTTCCTTTGGAGTGAGTAATTTACAGCTAGCATTCGGATGGCATCTCAACAAGGAAGAGGCACAATTTTAAAGAAGAAAAGAAGGTAGCATGAGTAATATTAATTACATGCAGTCAAATCTCCACCTAAAGACACTTTTGTAAGCAAACGGTTCTTCTTATGAACACATTTTTGTCATTTCCCTCTTTTGCCTTCTAGTCAAACTCTGTATTAATGCATGTAAGCAGATGCTCTCTCGTAGATGGACACAGATTGAAAATTGGATTTTTCTTTTGTTTATACTCTCTCATCAGCAGGAAAACAAGCTCATCTATTTGTTTGACTTTAACAAGAGTCTTACATAACACTCTCCTACAAGTGGATTCACCCAACTTTTCTTTGATGTCTGCTTCTGGGAATAATTTTCATGGGCAAGCAATTCTAGAAACAGACACTTTTTCTGATTCCTGAGGTTATCTGCTTATGAGAGAGTTGACTGTATCACTTTTCCTATGACCAAAAAAGCTTAACTTTTAAAACATTTCATCTGATCACATGACTCAATGTCCAACTCGTGTTTCAAATTCAAGCTGCAGCACTGCTTTTCTGAAATATAAAAGATTAAATGTGAATTAAATCTGGCCACAGAATGGTTACCTAATGTTCAATTATTTGTATATTGCATTGCAAAATAAAGAAACGTGTATTGTATCAAGGGTTCAAAAGAATATAATTACATGGATGTGCATTAATTATGTAGGTGTCATCAATTCTAATTTATGTTTATTTTTTTATAATTAGGAAATGAAATCAGTGAAAGTGGCTGTGGTGAGGATGACGAGGACTGTGGAAGTACTTCAAGTGGAGAAATCCCAAACCGAAATGTCATTGGAACGGGTATGTGTTAGATTTTCCCTATTTTTTGGGTTCCCTGTTCTACATAGAAGCTAGTGTCACGAGACCTGTTTTCCATATTTGGTATTGTACACGAGGTCTTCTTTCAGATTGGAAACACTTCTTACCGCCATCTTGATCTGGTTTACTGTATTCCTGGCCTTTTATTCAGGATACACTACAGTATGAAGATTTTTATTCACTTTTATGTTTTCTTACCTGGGACATCGGTCTGTTTTGTCACAGTGTTTTCAGTTGTCAAACCCTTTCACATGTAAATTATTATTATTACCAAAGCAAAAATATTTTAAAAGGTCTACACATAGAATGTCAATGATGTAAGTCTAAGAAACTGAATATAATTATAAGAAAGTGTTAAACAGAGGTCAGAAAGAGAGACATGTGACAAGATTCTTACAAGGCTCTCTCCTTGACCTCTGTTTAACACCGGCTTTGAGATTGGACGTGGAGGCGTGGTGGCCTCATGGTTAGTGCACTTGACTCAGGATCGAGTGGTCCGGGTTCGAGCCCCAGTTGGGACATTGTGTTGTGTTCTTAGGTAAGACACTTTACTCTCACAGTGCCTCTCTCCACCCAGGTGTATAAATGGGTACCGGCAATTTAATGCTGGGGGTAACCCTGCCATGGGGGGAATAGAAATACTCCTAGTCGCTTCATGCTACAGAAACAGGAGTTAAGCACCGGCCTAATGGGCCACTAGCCTCGTAAACAGACTTTACCTACGTCAGATTAACTACCAGTAAATGCAAATCATAAGGGCACACAATAGCTGAACAAAGTGCAACAAGGTCTTGAAGGTAACTTTAAGGCGCTTAAATTTTTTTCCAGTGGACAGTAAGTGTCCTTGAGTCAAAAACTGAACCATCATCATCATGCGCAACAAAAAATCTTTTAACTCAAGAATTACTAACATAAGACTTTTCCTTACCGTATCCCTACTGACATAAAGGTCATGAGATTAATGGAAATAATCACCAACTAAAAAAAAACTCTTGATTGATGTACAAATTCTCCTTTCGATACTATGAGGATTTTAGAGGGAACAATAGGGAGAACATGCATGCTCATGTTTGGGTATAAAGGGTTAGATGATGTGCGGCACATGATTAAAAGCTTAAAACTGCTGCTGCCATTTATTTTCCCTACGTGACATGAACTGTTTTATACAAGCCTGGAGATGAAACTTGATCGAGATTTCCGGACTTCTTCCGTATATTGGCATAGCCTAATCTAAACACGAGTGGGGTTGGCAGATGTCATTGGAGATAGTTGTAAAAAGTTCAACTGGACAGTTGGGTTTGGTTAGCTTTCGAGAATTTGTTGCAAACCCGTAGACACGGAGAAAGTCCTCGAATGTTTTCATTTAATATTTCTTGACAATGCGCCGAACCAAACTTATCACAGCCATGTTTTCACCCTCCTATCTAAACTATTGTTTTATTCTAATATATATCCCTTTGAACTAGTCGCGTTTGTAGTTGTTTTATTTTTGTACCATTTAATACTCTTGTAGAACCATTTTACCTCTAAGCCATGACAGGCAGATGAAAGATGGCGTGACCCTTGGCAAAGAGCCGCATTCACCAGCTCAACCAAGGTCATAGAGATATTGTTAACAGCGACGACTAACAATACCACGATAATTTCTGCATTCTTGCAGCATTTCCGTTTCCAGTGTTTTAGCGGACAGAAGACTTTTAAAACACAAAAAGAAAACGAATACGCTACATTTGTCCTGACTGGGTGGGTGTACTGTGGTTTTGCACAGTCCGCGCGATTCTGATCCACCAGAATCTTCGCGAAACATGCAGGTGACATTTATAAACATCAGTTGCGGTGTGTATTGATATATTAGGCTGGTTTCCAACAGCCACAGTTTCCTGTAATTTAGTTATTGATTACTACACACAACCTCTGATTATCAGTGTATGAAGAATCGATTTTTATTAAAATATCCATTCTCTGTTGTGCCCTTATTTATTGCTGAAAATCGCTCTTCTTCGTTGTGTGTACAAAATGTCATATTGAGTATTCAGCCTCCTCTAGCAGAAAATTGAAACACTCGATCAGTACACTCACCTATTACGAAACACCGATTAAGCTAGTTTCATTGTATAGAAAAGGAGGTTTATTGATAGAAGCGTGTTCGAATGCGGTAAAACTATTCTGTAAAATAAAGGCCTGTGTAACATCTTCAACGGCTTGGGTAAGAATGATGTAATGCTGGTGTTGTGTGTAGAGGACTGAGTTTAAATTACTTCATAGTTGTACTGATTCAATCAAGAGTGACTCTTAGTGGCAATATAGTGCATCAAGCCAAGCTATGCAGATTTGTCAGGAACATCATGATCAATAGTTTGAAGCGATCACTAAGATGTGTTACTTTGCTTTAACCAGCCTGATCGTTCAAGTAAACCTATTTGCGAAGTGAGTAAAGCGAACTGCTATTATTAAAATAATTCAAACACTGACTGACCTGAGAATTCGTGGAGGCATTTTCCACTTGTAAAGCTTCTGATCTGTAACCAAAGGATTGTCAAAATGCACAATGACAACACTCGTATCTGAATCATCTTCAAGAGAGCTGGAGGACCGAATTTCGAACTGAAATCCCGCTGAGCTCCGGCTTCCTGCAGTTACTGTGTAAAACAAACCTATCTTTGCCAAACATCAATTAAGCAACATTGGGTCCGTGAATATACAACCCATTTGAATTCATCGATGAGAGGAAATGAAGCAATACTCATCCTTGTGGCAATGCTTGAGATCGAAGCTCTCATGGCGTCGTTCAGAATGAGGAAACACTTAATACTTCGACATGTATGACCCCTTGGGGCCAGCTAATTCGAGATCGCGTCTAGGCCAGTTTTAAACATCCACCAATGCGTTTAATTTACATGTTGCACAATCATCAACAAAAATTTTTTTTTTTCCTTTGTTCTTTTCAACAGAATGCGGCAATTCAAAATAAGAAAGCGCGAATGAGTTGACAATCGCTGTCTATAAAAGACAGTCTTTCAATAATGGATTGCCGCCTTTAAACCGGCGAGCTTTGCCAACATGCAAATTACGAACAGGTTGATCGGGGAGACGTGTTTTGTAATTATTTGCTCCATTATTAAAACTCTGTGATAGCCTTTATTCATGCTGTCACAATCGGCTGTAATTTTGTTTTTTGTCAAAAGAAATACGCCCTCTATTTGACCTCATGGTGTCTGAAGACGTGATAAAATTAGTGATTTTTATCAGATTTTTTCGGTTTTGGAAGACATTATTTACGAATTGAGAATAGAAAGAATTTTATCTCCAATAACTTCTTTGTTTGTTTTAAATGGAAAACAAATATCTCACTTTACGGCAGCTATTTTAAGCAAAGCAAAACTGCAAGCTTTTGCCGCTTTAATTTCTTTAGTTTCCCGACAGAACAAGCAGGATTCTTATTTTTCAGGTCAATATTTAATAAGAATAGAAAAAAAATTACATGTGATTATTGATCGTTGAGTATCACTATAAAAACGCCGACATTCAAATGCTAAGAATAATTTAATTTCAAGATACTAAATAAGTTAAGTATGTCTATTGTAGACAAATAGAGTAACTGAACATTCAGGGAAAAGAAAGACATTTTTTGCTTGAATGTTTCTCCCTATGTTTTGATTTTTTGTATTCTTTCTTTATTTGTCAGTGAAATTTCATTTTCTCTTTCAGTTGTCTAAGAGCGGCGATCGAGTTTCTTTGCACAGGTGCGCTGAAATTGGAAAATTGTTCACAGCGGACATTGGCTGGTTCAAGTTGAATTGGCGCGTGCAATACACCTTTGCCATAATGGCGGCGGCCGAATGAAGACTAAAACTAGTGCATAGGGACGAGGCCACCCGGGCATGGATTTGTGCACTTGTGAGCGCTTGTCAAAAAGTTTCTGGCACAATTTATTAATTTATTAATCCAAAAAGCTCTATTTCTCAAAGAATCGACTACTAGTATAGCTAAGGCTCAAGTTAATATGTACAATGCCATGCCACTGCTGTGTTCCTTCATGGACTACTAGGGGATATCGCGACGTAAACGGTTAATAAATATCCTATTTCAAGTTTCCCAAAGAAAAACTCGCGAGAAAGCAATGGCTTCATGCAATCCGTCGAGAGGAAGGAAAAAGCTTCAAATTATTGGACTCAACCATGGCCTGCTCGCACCATTTTAAAATGGAAGACTTGAAGAAAAGTATTGCGGGCAAAATATGCCTTCAAACCAATGCTGTACTTCGCCGCGCAAAAGAAACCTCCACCTTAAAGATTCACTAGTAAAGCTACTACTCATCAATCATCCAGGGCTTTATTCATGGTGTGCACACTCAGAAAGCAGCGTAAATTATAAATCGAATGAACAGCTAGAGAGTCAGATTACAACTGTAGTATCCAATGAAAAGAATGTCGAAAATGAGGCACAGAGAAAAGATATCGAAACTCACACCGATTTGATCGAGTCGAAGGATGCACGCTTTCAGAGTGATCAGAGTGTTGTCGCGCTTGTGAAACAGTATGAAATGAGAATAGAAGAGCTCTAAAGAGAAATAGAAAGCATTTCAAAGAAGAATGAATGTTTAAAAAGTAGACTTTTTTCTATCGAAAGATTTCGCGCCGACAATTCTGCTGTGTCCTGCTACACTTCGTTTCCTAACAACGCTGTTTTAATGGAAATCTACAATTATCTAGACCCCAAAACGTGTTATATGATTGTGTAATTCCGCTCTGGTAAACAGAGGCATCTTCTAANTACAATATACCAATGTTATGTTATAAAACAAATGGTAAACGCGACAGTGTACACTATTGAGACTATTGAGTTATGGATGTACTTGGGAGGTATGCTAAGCACTCAAGAAGCTAGAGTCGCTCTCGGCTATCACCTCGCGCGACTCTTACGCTTCCTTCCTGCTTAGCAACCTCCCGCGTGCATCCATAACTCTACGCTGTGGTGTTTACCATTTGTTAAATTGCATTACTATTATGATCAGAACCCTTTCAACGGGGAATGAAGAAACCATTGAAATTTGGTCCCCTTCCCCCTCCAACGTGGGGCTTCGTGGCCCAGTTTGTAGTAGCGTATTAGTATCTGAAGGGCATGGATTGAATCCGCATTGAAGCTTGAATTCTTTCAGGCTGCTTTTAAAATTGTAATTCAAGGGTAAATTCTTCACTTGACTGTTCTCTATCTTAAAGAAGATTTACAGATTTATCACATCCATTTTGAAATCCCTGGTGGTCCTTGTAATCTAACTGGCTCTAATTGGTGCGATTTATTCACGAATCGCACCATTTTTTGCTCTAAATCGCATCATTTTATGCTTGACCGAGTTTTTGACGCCTGACGTCAAAGTTTTTCTGTTGTACATACAAAATAAGATGTAAAAGCGTTTCCGGTTCCCCTTTTTACTTAAAAACCGGCTCAGTACTGCATCAATAAAATATTTGAATTGACCAAGTCCTGTATTTGGGCGATTTCAAAATGAATGTAATAAAGTGGTAATTGAACCTCGTGTCGTGCAATTTTGGTCTAAGGTCATACTTGTAATTCCAAATCAAACTCGCGCTGCGCGCTCGTTCGATTTTGAAATCACGCGTATGATTTCAGCCCAAATTTCACTCCACTCGGTTCAATTACCATTATGAATTCCTAAGCTGTATTTCGTGTGCCCTGTCGTCTTGTGATTTTATAAGCAGATTATGATATCAGTTACTTTGTGTTCGTTGTTATCGAATACTCTTTGATACCGTAAACGTCTTGCGTGATGGAGTAGATCATGTGGCTGTCCAGCTAATCATGTGATCCTTGTTGCATTCACTGAGTGGGGGGGGGAGGGGGAGGGAAGAAGTGGGTATTGGGTATCGCCAGTGCTCACAAACCGTGCAAAGAACGATAGCTTGTGCCGGCCAGACTAAAATTAACTGCAGAAAGATGGGACTCAAGAAATTTTGTATTAGGCATGGCAACACAAGTAGAATTTTTATCTCTTTCGCAAATTTCCGTAAACGTCTTGCGTAATTAGATCATGTGGCAGCCCAACAAACCATGCGATTCTCGTTGCATACCCTGAGTGGGGGGGAAGGAAAGTTGCTATTGGGTATCGCCAGTGCTTACCTACCGTCCAAGAAACAATAGCGTGTGCTGGCTAGACTAAAAAAAAACTGCAGAAAGATGTGATTCAAGAAATTTTGTATCAGGCATGGCGACACAAGTAGAATTTTTATCTCTTTCGCAAATTTCCGTAAACGTCTTGCGTAATTAGATCATGTGGCAGCCCAACAAACCAATGTGATTCGCGTTGCATACACTGAGTAAGGGGGGGGGGGAAGGAAAGTTGCTATTGGGTATCGCCAGTGCTTACCTACCGTCCAAGAAACAATAGCATGTGCTGGCTAGACTAAAATTAACTGCAGAAAGATGTGATTCACAAAATTTTGTATCAGGCATGGCGACACAAGTAGAATTTTTATCTCTTTCGCAAATTTCCGTAAACGTCTTGCGTAATTGGATCATGTGGCAGCCCAACAAACCAATGTGATTCGCATTGCATACACTGAGTGGGGGAGGGGGGGGAAGGAAAGTTGCTATTGGGTATCGCCAGTGCTTACCTACCGTCCAAGAAACAATGGCATGTGCTGGCTAGACTAAAATTAACTGCAGAAAGATGTGATTCAAAAAATTTTCTATCAGGCATGGCGACACAAGTAGAATTTTTTTTTATTTCTTTCTTCCCGACAAACTACTTTACCACTTCGCCCCTAACCCCCCCTCCCATCCTCACAATTAATACTTGTCTGTTGAGGTCTCCAACACAAATAATTCGCTGGGTCAAAATCTTCCAGTTGCATGTGATATTGTTCCTCCTGTCTGGGATTAGTTTCAGCCTTGTACGTTATGTAATCCATACTGTTCAAAAAATGTGTTCATTTTCTTTTTCAACACCGGAGATCTCGCCTCCGCTGGACCACAGGACCAGTGCCATATTTGTCTGTAGTCCCCTTGGATGACCTTCTCAGGCTTCACGCTTTTAACATGCAAGGCGAGATGGGGGTCAACAAACCAATCAACGGCAGCGAAAAGGTTATGTAACACAATCGTGCCAGTCGTGGTTCACATCCAGAATACAGCTTAGAGGAATCTTTTGATTTACCATCCACAAAATATGGCACCGAAAAGAGAATTTACTTGGAAGGAACTGAGTTCTTTGAATCAGGAGGACAATGCTCATGTTGCTGTTCGCGGAAAGGTGAATTGTGAAAATAATTTAACAGGCGGTTTTAGGTCAGAGGAAACTTCCGCCATGCGATCGTGCCGGGGGCACTTTGGACTAAAGTACGCGTACTCTTTTTTTCCTTAGGTGTACGACGTGAGTACGTTTCTCAACCGACATCCTGGCGGTAAAGATGTGTTGCTTATTGGAGCTGGAAGCGATGTCACCATTGTGTTCGAAACTTACCACGCTTTCAGTGACTCAGTTTCAAAGTAAGCCTTAGAAAAAATTTACATTTGATCTTCTAAAAAACCGCAATCTTTGTTCTATAACGATGAAGTTTTGTAAGAGTTCTGCTGGTGAATTACTTTCCTTTTCAATATTTGGGGATATTTGACCTTCTATTTTGTGAAAAAAATGTCAGATCCATAATCTTCTGAACTTGAACTTGGTAGTAGGCAGGGTGCCCATTCCCCAGTATCAGTCACGCTCTAGTCAATCTTCAACGAGCGGCAAAAATAGACTTGCTCGTTTCCTCTAAGTCGGTGATCGAGAAGCCTCCACTCAACAAAATAAGCGAAAATTTTGTGATTCATGTCTAATAAGTTAATCCCAACTTCCCCCTCTCCCCACAAAAACACTGAAATTAGTGACCATTTTGTCAGGAGGTGAATGAGTTACATAACAATGGGAAAGAAATGGTTGCGTATAGCAAATTATCAGAAAATGCTGCTTCTGTTTCACATTACCTTGTTTTAGTTGTGTTTTTATTTTTTTCTTGAATCATCGCAATTTATTCGCTTTTGATTCCTCCACTCTATACAATTGTTTGCTCCATACAAATCCTTTTATTTCTACTGTTGTACAATGACGATATGATACAGTTGTACCAAGGGCTACCAGTAGTAGAAGTCTGGTTCAAATTCCAAGGCCCTTATCATATGAATGCCCCTCTTCCCCGACACAATGGCAACATGTGACATGGATAGGCATTGTAACTATGTGGCTATCTAAGATCATTCTGAAATTAATGAACTAATCAATAATCAATCAAAAAAATGAGCCTTCTGGCAAATGTCCTTAACAATATACAATACCTATTCAAGGCTGTGCTTAAAGAAAAATTGAAGGGAGCCTAGTGCTCTGAAACTGGGAATTCTAGGGTGCCCAGCTTATGCTTTTTATGAAAAAACTAAGTTCCGTAAGTTGCCCATGAGCAAAAGCCACCGGGCACTGCTAGACCACAGCCCTGCATATTTGCTTGAGATGATGATAAACTCTGGTTATAATTTACTATTTTAAAAAAGGATACTTGTAGTTAAAGTATGCTTTAATTTGTGTATTTTTTTGGGTCAGGGTTATGGAAAAGTATTATGCTGGAGAACTGATCTCAGATGAATTTCCCACCTTTCCTGAACGTGGGTAAGTTTTTAACTACTTAAAGTTTTAAATGAGGTCATTTTAGGTCAAAAGCGTTTCTCACAGTTGCTATCACTTTTGATTCCAGGCCCTTTTAACAAACTGTGAGGAAGCGTGTTAAGAACTACTTCAAGGAAACAAATCAGGTACAATTCATTGTGTCTTGAATAAATCTAGATGTGCATTGAAAGTTGAACTTGTTTTGAAAGTCTACAGAAAGATACGTTTTGTTTATTTACTTGTTCCTAAGGCTATCATCGTTTAAGTAAAGCAGGCTTCAGACACTTAAATTAACTGTGGATAGTCAACAAACAAAAACAAAAAGTCATCTTCTTGTATGGTAGTTGGTTTGAGTTGGTAAGTTGGCCACCTTATAAGGCTTTTTAACACTGGCATTTGAGTGCTAAGACTCAAAACATCAGCTTTAGCAACTCTTTGATGGCTATTAACATTTTATCGACTCAGTCTCTAAAACCCAATTATCTTGTAATGTACATGTACAGTGTATACCCCACGGATGCACTTCAGTTTTGTTTGAAACTTACCCCACCCTTTATTCCTTATTTTAGTTGCCTTCCCTGGCTATTTAATAAGTAATCAATTGCAAAGATAACCTTGAAATTACCTAAATGACTCATTTATTACCCATAAATGTTGGGATGGAATATGAGAAAATGGTAATGATAACTTTTGACAGACAACATGTATGAAAAAAAAAAAGAAACAAAAAAAAAAATGGTTTCTAGTAACAAACATGAGAGTTATTAGACATTGCCAGAACATTACCCACCTCTGGTTGAACCTAGAAGGGCAAATTGAAAATTTTCCTTCTGGCCAGTGCCTTTGATTATTTGTCCTTATATAAAACAGGGAGCAGTTACTCAAGCCTGTTTCTAGAAAACTTTAAGACATAAAACTAGAAAAACTCAGGCAAGGAAAATGCTTTTAGCAAGGACAAGCTGGGTGTGAATTCAGCATCACTCCGAAATTGAGATTTTTTCATGTCAAAACCATGGTTGATTCCTAATACTGCTTGATAGGATCCTAAGTTCTCAGGGTGGATGTGGTTACGTTACATTGGAATCCCAGCTGTTCTACTTCTTTTGTGGAGTGCACAGGTTAGTTAAATTTTGAACACCAATGACAATTATCCTTGATGAACCCCTTAGTTTCTCCACAAGAATTACTTCATTTAAAAAAACCAAGCATTCAGTATTTTCCTTTGGCAAGAGTACCATATAACCCCATACATTAATTAAGCATTCAGACTAGTAGACTTTGTTTTTAAAGTTTTGTCATGAAAGACAAAGAAGTAGAATGCATAATTAATGTATGGGGTTATATGGTACTCTTTCCTTTTCCTATTTTTTCCCAGTGGAAGACATGGGTATGATTTCATAGTTATTATTATTGTAGAGATTGGGAATGTTTCTTTCCCTTCTCCCAGGTCTGTCTCACCCTCCCTTAACCCCTGTGCCCCAAAGAAACCTGTGAAACTCACACTCTATCCCATGTTGTATTCCTCTCTGGCTTTGTGGTTAAGGAGAGAGCCTACTTTATGGTTATCTGCTAAAAACCTGCGCTTACCTGTTTATTCAGTACTATACCAATCAACTAAAATGCAAGCAGTTGTGTGTTGAAATATGTCATAAGGAATCTTAGGGCACTCTATATTATGATAACTAGAAATAAAATGAGTGCATGTAGACTCATCCAATATAGACAAATACAGCTGTAACATTCGCAAACAGCCGGTTGTGTACTAATTTGGTCACTTTTACTAGATGTTCTGGCTGTCCCACAGTTTTTTCTTGTCTTGTATTGCTGCTGCTTTCATGGGATGGATGTGAGCTTTAATTGGACTGGTGAACAATCATGACTCCAGGTAATGTTTTGGGCCTGTAGCTCACACAATTAACAAATGGTAAACACCACAGAGTACACTATTGAGTTATGGATGCATGGGGGAGGTTGCTAAGCACGAAAGAAGCGTAAGAGTCGCTCGA